CACGGAGAGTGGAGAGAAGGAGGGAGCAACGCAGGCAGGCTCAACTACTCGGGAGGAGAGCGTCCTGCCCTTCTCCACAAGGAACACCTGGAGACTGAGACTTAAGGAGACGCTGTGGGGAGAGGCATTTGTCGGGAACAAACGCTGATTCCTTGGAGTTTTGTGTGTGTTGTTACTGATCTCTTGTTCTGTGACTTCTGCTTGGAAACCCGGAAACTCTAACCATTGGACTGGCTGACAACGTTGCTTGGATGTTCAAAGATCTCGGATTGTATTTTGGCTTCTCTTCTGAAACTGCTCAAGCAAGCGTATATTCACACAGACTGGTTAGGTTTATGATGTATCTGTCATTCCTTGTTATCTCCGTGGCCTTGAGTCAATTCCTCTCCTAATCAGACTGCATGTGAAACTACTGGCAGCCAGAGGCAGCTGAAGGTGTGTGTGTGTGTGTGTGTCTTCCTTTGTTTTGAAGCTTGCCAGAAACATGGGAGCATTTGGGGGAAATTTGGAGCAATTAAAGGACGGTTTGGATTGCCTGCTGACTGCATTGCCTCGATGCTGTGCCCTCGGTCATCACACAGACTTGCTTGCAACACTCTTAGTCTTTTTTTGGAGGGGGGGCTTTGGGGTACACTGGCGCTGGGGTCCTTAAGAAGCAGAAAACCGCCTTTGTGGGGGATCTCTCAAATCAGCCCGGCTGCCCCTTTTAGGCCGAGGCTGCGATCCAAAATTTCTCCAGAGTTGCTTGGATGGGGGGCACCTTCTCGCCTTTCCTAAGGACCCACATTGCCTTTTGTGGGATGAGTTTGTGGCTGTTGTGGGATGAGTTTGTGAACCCTGTGGGGCTGCGGAGAGCCTGGCGGTGGGACACGCTGAGGCTGGCCCGTGTCTTCGGACCAGCAAGGCCTTCCCTGTGCCCTGCTGGCACGGCCTGCCGGAGGGTCTGCTGCCAACTCTGGTGCCGCATGGCAGACCTTTGGCAGAGGGCGGCTTTATCTGCTTCACACAGGGTAACTTTGTGTTCCCGCAGGCCAAGCATCGTTGTACTTACTGCCAGTGAGAGAGGCCAAGCATTGTGGGGAAGGGGCATGTGTAACATCGGGGGGAAGGGTCTTGCATCCAGTCTTTGTCGCCATGATGTACAAAAGATGTTGAGACTCTAGAAAGTGTACAGAGAAGAGCAACAAAGATAGTTAGAGGACTGGAGGCTGAAAAATATAAGGAAAGGTTGCTGGAATTGGGTATGTCTAGTTTAACGAAGAGAAGGACGAGGGGGGACAGGATAGCAGTCTTCCAGTATCTCAGGGGCTGCCCCAAAGAAGAGGGAGTCAAGCTATTCTCCAAAGCCCCTGAAGGCAGGACAAGAAGCAACGGGTGGAAACTAATCAAGGAGAGAAGCAACCTGGAACTAAGGAGAAATTTCCTGACAGTGAGAACAATTAACCAGTGGAACTACCTGCCTCCAGAAGCAGTGAATGCTCCAACACTGGAAGTTTTTAAGAAGAGACTGAACAGCCATTTGTCTGAAATGGTATAAGTTCTCCTGTTCGAGCAGGGGGTTGGACTAGAAGACCTCCAAGGTCCCTTCCAACTCTGTTATTTTCTTCTATTCTCCAAAGCCCCTGAAGGCAGGACAAGAAGCGACGGATGGAAACTAATCAAGGAGAGGAGCAACCTGGAACTAAGGAGAAACTTCCTAACAGTTAGAACAATTAACCAGTGGAAAGGCTTGGCCTCCTGAAGTTCTAAGTCTCCATCACTGGGGGTTTACAAGAAAAGATCGGGTAATTCTTTGCTCAGGATGCAATAAGGTCTCCTTGAGCAGGGGGTGGACTAGAAGACCTCCAAGATCCCTTCCACCTCTGTTATTCTGCTCTTCGGTAGAACGGCTGGCCTTCAAAAGTTGTGGGGGCTCCATCACCGAAGGCTTTGAAGAAGAGGCTGGACAGCCACTCCCTCGTCTGGAGCGGTAGAGGATTTCCTGCCTGAGCCAGGGGGCTGGACTAGAAGACCTCTGAGGTCCCTTCCGACTCTTCTGATGTTCCGTCTTTGGGGCATAGCAGCTCTGGAAGCAGGCATGTTTCTTGGGTGGGCTGCCTTGCCAGTGAGCCCCGTGGCCTCGGACCCTCCGAAGGGGTACCCATCCTGGCTGCCCTTCTCCCCTTCGTCCCTTCACCTCTTCCTAGCCCAGTGTTGGTGAACCTATGGCACACGTGCCAGAGTTGGCACTCAGAGCCCTCCCTGTGGGCACGTGTGCTGTTCGCCCCAGCCCCGCCTCCCCCCACAGCACCCTCCTCACCAGCGACCCCATGGAGGAGAGCCCCCCTCCCCGGGCGCAGCCTGCGCACAGCAGCGCAGCCAAGGACATGGCAGCCGGGGCAAGACTCCGCCCTCGCGCCCCGTCGCGGGCAGATGATGCCGTGGGGCACGGCCGGAGGGCGTGGGCCACCAGGGCGCTGCTGGGCCGCCATGGCGATCTGCTGCAGTGGGCCGTGGAGGCGGTGGGTGGCCCTGTGGGCGGGGCGGGGTTTATTAGAGAGTTCTTTATGCAGCCATGCTGGTTTCTTGTGAGAGCTATTATTTTTCTTCTTTGTTGGTATTGTGCTAGACTGGGTTATGTTTTTTTTAAAAAAAATAAAATAAATTCCCAAGCTTTTTGAGTTGTTTCCCCTTGAGGGGAATCCCTCCCCAGCCTCTCTTAAAGTCCAAGACTCTAGTTGGACTGTGTTCTATTGTCATGTGTTGCCTACGTACCTTAGTTAGCTGACTAGCAAAAAGGTCTAGAGTATACACCCAGGGGTGTCCAAACTTGGCCTTTTTATGACTTGTGGACTTCAACTCCCAGAATTCCTCAGCCAGCCCTGGCTGGCTGAGGAATTCTGGGAGTTGAAGTCCACAAGTCATAAAAAGGCCAAGTTTGGACACCCCTGGTATACAGCTATGGCAATGTCATTTTTTCCCCCTTTTATATTGACCCAAATGCATTCAGGACAGTTTTCGTCGTTGTTGGGCCCTACTTCTGTAGAGATGTCGTTATTTCTTAAATAGAGAGAGCAACCTCACCTCTTTTATTTGCTCATCACTGCCCTAGCCCACATGCCCCGTTCATCTGCAGAAGAGGCTGTGCCCACCCACCCCTCCGAGTGGGGCGAGGGAAGGGCCAGGCCAGGAGGTTAAATCAAGACTGCCTTTTCATCCCTAGCAGGCAGATTGCTGGGGGGAAAAAACCTTTTTTTCCATCCGGCGGGCAGGGCGAAGGACATTTCCGCAGGAGTCTGCTGTGACTGACGGAGAACAAACGGAGATTGGCACGAGGGGGGGGGCACACAGCCTGGCCTCTCCCTTCCGCTGCTGCTGCTGCTTCCTCCGAGCTTGTTAAAAATATATATCTATATACCTCTCTTCCCTCCCCTCCTCTTCTTTCTAGTTTTTCCTTCCTTCCCTTCCTTGCCTGCAAAAACCCTCAGCGGCTTTCTTGGGAGATGCAGACAGTTGTGCTTTGGTTGTGGGGGGGGGCTGTTTCTTGTGGGGGGAGAAACACCAACCACCTTCCACAGCTGCTTCCCCTCTGCCCTCCCTCCCACCCTCCTGCCTGCCCTTTGCCCCCTCCCCGCTGGGCCGATGCCCATGAAGAGGGGGGCGTCCAGGAAGAAGGATGGCAGCGGAGTCGGCGGCCGAGAAAGAAGCGGAGAGCTCTCGGTGGCCAATTGATCCGATGCCAGCCACAAACGCCAGGCGGGATTTGTATTCTGCTTTACACCCGGCGCCGGCGGCGGAGTGGAGATCAATCCAATTAAGAGTATTTCCAGCCCTGCCTGCCTGCCTCCTGGCTCCGGCCTGTCTCTCAGCCTGTCTGTGCGGCAGGGAAAGCCGGCTGAGCAGAATCCCTGAGTGGGCAGGCAGGGGGCCGGGGGGGGGGGCTCTGCTCTTCCATGATCCCGCCACCCCAAAAGCCTGGAGCTTCCGAACAAAGCCAGGTCAGCAAAGCCTGTCACCAACAAGGAAAGGATGACAGGATGCCAGAGTTGGAAGGGACCTCGGAGGTCTTCTAGTCCAACCCCCTGCTCAAGCAGGAGAGGCTGTACCATCCTGGACAAATGGGTGTTCGGTCTATTGAACACCTCCAGGGATGGAGCACCCACAACTTCTGGAGGCAAGGCGTTCCAGTGATTGATTGTCCTCCTCCTCCTCTTCTCTGCAAAACCCCCTCCCTTCTAGCTCTGATGATGTTCCCTAGTTGGGTCATGAAAGGTCTGTAAGAAAACCACCCAGCTCAGAGAGGACCAGGAACTGCACAGTCCTCCTCTTCCTCCCTCGCCCCTTCCTCCTCCTCCTCCTCCTCCTCCTCCTCACCTCCCTTCTAGCACTGATGATGTTCCCTAGTTAGGTGATGAAATATCTGCAAGAAAACCACCCAGCTCAGAGAGCACCAAGGACCCCACAGTCCTCCTCCTCCTCCTCCTCCTCTTCCTCCTCTTCTTCCCTTCTAGCACTGATGATGTTCCCTAGTTGGGTCATGAAACGTCTGCAAGGAAACCACCCAGCTCAGAGAGCACCCAGGACCCCTCAGTCCTCCTCCTCCTCCTCCTCCTCCTCCTCCTCTTCCCTTCTAGTACTGATGATGTTCCCTAGTTGGGTCATGAAAAGTCTGCAAGGAAACCACCCAGCTCAGAGAGCACCAAGGACCGGTCATTTCAACCCCGAACTACAAATATCCCCCTTTGCAAGCCATCTCGCTGACCTTCTTCTGCCCCCTCCCCTCCCGTGTGTACATGCAACTCCTTAAAAGGAGCATGCACACCAGACGCAGGCACCCCAAGCCTGCGTATCTTTGAACAGGGTCTCTTGACTGCACCATCTTTCTCCCCTCTGACAATCAAGTCTCGGACTGATCTCCTCCAGAAAAGGGGGCTTATTGCCTCCCCTTTTCCTTCCAAAAGCACTCTCCCTCCCCCCCCCCAGCCCACTTCCAGCTCCCTGGTGCGTGGAAAGTGGGCACCATGCAGGCCGAAAACTTTCACGCCCGTCCGCACAGCAAGCCCAGCTTTCAGCGTCTGGGCCCGGCCTCGGTCCATGGTGCAGCAGGAGGGTGCGGCGTGTCCATGGCTTGAGTTGTGTGTGTGTGTGGGGGGGTCTTGCCAAAAGGGGGTGCAAATACGCGTCTGTCGAGCAAGAGACTAAGTCTAAAACTGGGGTGCTCTTGCACAGCAGAGGCGTAGCTACACTTCAGACTTAGTCTTATTGGAGCAGGAAGATTAAGACAACCGTCAGCGTGCAAGTGATGGCATCTGCTGGTGGCCCCCGGGGCGCAGGTCTTGCTGCCAAAGTGCCCGCTAACTGTCTTGACCGCAAGGAGGAAACGATCCTTTTTTGGCCGCTGGCAGTTTTCCTGTAAAATACGGCCAATCCTGACCCCCTCTGGCAGGGCAGCCAAGTCAGTCAGGTGGAGGAGCCCCCGCCCCACCTGTCCACCTTAAGGGCAGAAAAGCTGCCCCACCGACTCGTCTGGGCGCTGGAAGCCCCCGAGGGTCCCTTTGGTCTCGCAGCCCCCTTTCCCTCTGCCCTTAAATCCCTGCACGATGCTCGTCTCCAGCAGGGTTTTGTTTTTTTTTCCTTTCTTTCTTTCTCTTTCTGAGTTTTTTTGTTCTCCCGCTGCATTTTTCAGCCTTAAAGCCTTCATCGTGAATCAACAGAAGCAGAATAAATTAACCTCTGGGGAAACCGAGGCGAGCGTCTCTCTTCCGGAAGGCAGGGGAGGCAGTTTAGGCCGAGGGGTCCTCCATTCCCTTGGCGTTTTCAGCCCCAAGTATCCAAGCGGGAGGAGAAGGGAGGATTTGAGGGGTGGGCTTGTTTGTCTGGGGCTGGGCATGGGAGGGGCTGCCAAGGCCAGGCTTTTGGGGGGTGGGCTTTAGCCAGCCGGTTCCAGCTCTTCCAGAGCTTCTCTCTCCCAGAGAGACCTCGGCCTGGGCTGGGAAAAGAAAATAACAGAATAACAAGGTTGGAAGGGATCTCAGGGGTCTTCTAGTCCAAGCCCCTGCTCAGGCCGAAGGTGGCTGTCCAGTCTCTTCTTAAAAGCCTCCAGTGGTGAAGCACTTCTGGTGGCAAGCAGTTCCACTGGTTAATTGTTCCAACTGTCAGGAAATGTCTCCTTAATTCTAGGTTGCTTCTCTCCTTGGTTAGTTTCCATCCGTTGCTTCTTGTCCTGCCTTCCTTTGGAGAATAGGTGGACTCTCCCCTCTTATCTGTGGCAGACCCTCAAATATTGGAAGATGATCATGTCCCCCCTGGTCCTTCTCTTCGTTAAACTAGACATGCCCAATTCCAGCAGCCTTTCCTTATATGTTTTAACCTCCAGTCCCCTGATCATATTTGTTGCTCTTCTCTGCACTCTTTCAAGAGTCTCAACATCTTTTTTACATCGTGGTGACCAAAACCGGCTGCCATATTCCAAGTGTGGCCTTACCAAGGCCTTGTAAAGTGGTATCAACACTTCACGTGATCTTGACTCTCTCCCTCTGTTAATTTGAGGACTTACCTATACCAGGGGACTTCAAACCTGGCCCTTTTGTGACTTGTGGACTTCAACTCCCAGAATTCCTCAGCCAGACATGCTGGGGGTTGAAGTCCCCAATTCTGGGAGTTGAAGTCCACCAGTCATAAAAGAGCCAAGTTTGAAGACCCCCTGCTGTAGAAGAAGGCAAAGGACCAGCTGTCTGCAAGGAGTATAAATCCTTCCCTTCCCCACCATTCGGTCAGAACCTGAAGAAGCTTCTGGGATGGGAAGCGAAATGCCTTCAAGGAGAAAAAAACGAGAAAGTCCATTTTCCTCCTAAAAAAAAAACCCCTTGGGACAACCACAACCTGGATGACTGAGAAAACCCCCACAGACATAAATCAAAAGAAATAAATTGTTCCATACTCATCTCTTGTTTTTCTCCCCCCCTTTCTCCTCCCCCCCCCCTCTGTCCCCAGAGCACATCTGCTCCATCCTGGCCTCCCTCCTCCGAAACCTGCGGGCTCAGCAGAGGACAAGGCTGCTCAACAAGTTCACGGAGAACGACAGCGAGAAGGTGAGCGGTGGGGCAACTAGGAGGCCAGCTCTGACAAAGAAATAATAATAATATTGATAAAGTTGGAAGGGACCTTGGAGGTCATCTAGTCCAACCCCCTGCTCAGGCAGGAAACCCTATACCATTTCGGACAAATGGCTGTCCAGTCTCTTCTTAAAAACTTCCAGTGTTGGAGCGTTCACCGCTTCTGGTGGCAGGTTGTTCCCCTGGTTAATTGTTCTCACTGTCAGGAAGTTTCTCCTTAATTCCAGGTTGCTTCTCTCCTTGGTTAGTTTCCACCTGTTGCTTCTTGTCCTGCCTTCAGGTGCTTTGGAGAACAGCTTGACTCCCTTTTCTTTGGGGCAGCCCCTGAGATACTGCAACCCTGCTATCATGTCCCCCTCGTCCTTCTCTTTGTTAAACTAGACATTCCCAATTCCAGCAACCATTCTTTGTATGTTTTAGCCTCCAGTCCCCTGATCATCTTTGTTGCTCTTCTCTGCACTCTTTCTAGAATCTCAACAAGGAAGGACCGCTGTGCCAGTGGGCACCCTGCTTCCTGGCTGGGCTGCCCAGGAGGTGCCCAGAGGCTGGCAGCCCTCCTTCCCTCCCTCCTTCCCCGCGGCTGTTTCCGCAGCCGTGCAGCCCCTGGTTCCTCCCTTCTTGTCCCAGCCGGCCTCTCAGCCCGTGTTGACAGCATTAATCGACCGGGCCTCACCAGGTCTGTGCAAATAACTTTGGATCAAAATGAGTGTCAGTTCTGAACATCAGAGGCAGCGCAAGGGGGAGGCAGCCACGGGAAGACGAAGGACGCTTCCAGGGGCGCCTTTGCCAAGCGTGTCCCAAGGCGCCCCCGCTGGATCTGTCCTTAGGCCGTGAATGTGCTTTTCCCACTTTCATTAGAGCTGATATTTTTCCCTCCCCTGGAATTTACGGAGGAGGGAGAAAGGCTGGTCCGTGGCTGCCAGCCAGGAGGGCTGAATGGAGCTATCATAATAGTAGTAATAATAATAATAATAAGAGTTGGAAGGGACCTTGGAGGTCATCCAGTCCAACCCCCTGCTCAGGCAGGAAACCCTATACCATTTCAGACCAATGGCTGTCCAGTCTCTTCTTTAAAAGTGTTGGAGCCTTCACCGCTTCTGGAGGCAGGTTGTTCCACGGATTAATTGTTCTAACAGTCAGGAAGTTTCTCCTTAGTTTTAGGGTGCTTCTCTCCCTAACAGAACAACAGAATAACAGAGCTGGAAGAGACTTTGGAGGTCATCTAGTCCAACCCCCTGCTCAGGCAGGAAACCCTACACCATTTCGGACAAATGGCTATCCAGTCTCTTCTTAAAAACTTCCAGTGTTGTAGTAAAAAACTTCCAGTGTTGTAGTAATAGTAGTAAAGTTGGAAGGGACCTTGGAGGTCATCTAGTCCAACCCCCTGCTCAGGCAGGAAACCCTACACCATTTCAGACAAATGGCTGTCCAGTCTCTTCATAAAAACTTCCAGTGTTGGAGCATTCAGAGCTTCTGGAGGCAGGTTGTTCCACTGGTTAATTGTTCTCACTGTCAGGAAGTTTCTCCTTAGTTCCAGGTTGCTTCTCTCCTTGGTGAGTTTCCATCCGTTGCTTCTTGTCCTGCCTTCAGGGGCTTTGGAGAAGAGCTTGACTCCCTCTTCTTTGGGGCAGCCCCTGAGATATTGGAAGGCTGCTATCATGTCCCCCCTCGTCCTTCTCTTCATTAAACTAGACAGACCCAATTCCAGCAACCTTTCCTTCTATGCTGAGGCCCTCTGTCACCGGGAAGAAGACCCGGGGAGACCCGCATGGAAAGGCCGAGATTCCTTGCCTGCATGCGGAAGAAGAGACGGGCAGACGCAGAAAGAAACACACCAACCCAGAGAAATGTTTTTTTCTCCCCCAGGTGGACCGGCTGATGGAGCTCTATTTCAAATACCTGGATGCCATGCAGGTGGCCGATAAGAAGATCGAAGGGGAAAAGCATGTAAGTCCTCCTTTCTTCCCCCCCCCCCCAGGCTTTGGAGATCTAGAGAAGCAGCACGGCTCTCCCCCGCAGCTGCCTCCTGAGGGGCACACACGTCAGAAACCCCTAAGGAGGGAATCTCTGGAGCCCAGAGTTGAACTGGGGGGTCCGACCCGGGTGCTCTCTGAGCTGGGTGGCTTTCTGGTAGACATTTCTTGACCCAGCTGGGTAACATCATCAGTGATGGAAGGAAGAGGGGTTTGCAGAGTGGTGGTGGAGGAGGAGGAGGAGGAGGAGGAGGAGGAGGAGGAGAGACTGGGGGGTCCCGTGGTTGTTTTCTCATAGACGTTTCATGATCCAACTAGGGAACATCATTAGTGCTAGAAGGGAGGTGGGTTTGCAGAGAGGAGGAGGAGGAAGAGAAAGAAAGTGAGGCCCTGGGTGTTCTCTGAGCTGGGTGGTTTTCTTGCAGACATTTTATGACCCAACTAGGGCACAACATCAGTTCTAGAAAGGAGATGGAGGAGGAGGAGGAGGACGGTGGGGTCCTTGGTGCTCTCTGAGCTTGCTTGTTTCCTTGCAGACGTTTCATGACCCAACTAGGGAACATCATCAGTGCATGTAAGGAGTGCAGTTTGCTGCCAGTTTATATCCTGGCCTCTTGCCCTGTCAGTGTCGTTGGGGCTGGTCTTAGAGATTCTTTGGTTGGGCTGCTGGCTTCTTTGGCAGCTTCTCCATTGGGGCCTTGCTTACCTCAATGCTGGTCTGATGTTAACCTTGGAGTTAATCTAGGTACTGATTTTGCTCTTCTCCTTCCCTTCTGGGGCTGGGTGAGGGTCCCTTTTGCATCCTCTGCAGAGCTTGTTAAGGCCTACGTGTCCCGGGACGGCCGACCTGTCGGAAGGCTTCTAGAAACTCCCTGGCGTTCTTGGGCCTAGCCTGGCCTGCGCTGGTCTCAGTTTCCCCGTCTGTCCAAGTGTTGTGCAGTTAAGGAGCTTTGCTCCCGTCTTCACGGATGTGTGTTGCCCGGCCTCCTGCCTCTTTGTCCTCCGTCGGGGCTGCCGCAGTCCTTACACCGCGGGTTGCTAATGACTCCTGTTTTTTCTTCTGCGGCTGCGGGGTCTTTGCGTTTGTGTAGGATGTTGCGAAGGGCTTTCGTTGGCTTGTGTGCTACGCTGATGCCATGTGGTTGTTGTAGATTCTGAGATGTTCCTGATGCCTGGCAGTGACACTCTTTTTAGGGTTTGTGTTGCTTGTGCCCCGCTGGGCTCCTATCCATTTGGTGGGGAGACGGTTGTGTAGATCAGGAGTAGGCAACCTTGGCTCTTTTATGACTGGTGGACTTCAACTCCCAGAATTCCTGAGGCAGCATGGGGGAACTATGGCCTCTTCATGACTCGTGGACTTCAACTCCCAGAATTCCTGAGCCAGCCTGGCTCAGTTTGGAAACCTCTCCCTTTCCCCTCAGCATGGCTGGCTCAGGAATTCTGGGAGTTGAAGTCCACCAGTCATAAAAGGGCCAAGTTTGAAGACCCTTACCCTAGGCCTAGAGTCTAGACCAGGGGTCGGCAACCTTGGCTCTTTGATGACTCGTGGACTTCAACTCCCAGAATTCCTGAGCCAGCCATGCTGAGGGGAAAGGGAGAGGTTTCCAAACTAAGCCATGCTGGCTCAGGAATTCTGGGAGTTGAAGTCCACGAGTCATGAGGGGGCCATAGTTCCCCCATGCTGGCTGAGGAATTCTGGGAGTTGAAGTCCACGAGTCATGAGGGGGCCATAGTTCCCCCATGCTGGCTCAGGAATTCTGGGAGTTGGAGTCCACGAGTCATAAAGGAGCCAAGGTTGACTACTCCTGGTGTAGAGGCTGTTTTCCTGCCATTCAGGGTTGCCGCAACGAAGGGCTGGGCGGAGGGAGCCACGGAAGGCCACGGAGGAAAGGCGTTGGGCTCCCTGCCACCACCCCTCTTTTCTTGGGGGGGAGGGTGGAGGAGGGGACCAGCTTCCTCTCCCCCCCCACCCTCCCCAGAGGTCCAGAGGCGGAGGAGGGCACGGGCGACAGGCAGCCTCCATTAACGGAAGGGCGACTGAGGCAGGCGATGGCTTAATACATTATTCCTCAGTTCCGTGTGGAAATTATGCTCAGCAGGTTGATTCAATAAAACGTTCTCTCTGGGCATTTTGCATGCTAATGGCTCCTAAATGAGATGATAATTGCGCCGCCACCTCCCAAGGCAGAAATGGGATCCTGCCAGGGCAGCCGGGAGGGGGGGGAGGGGGAGAGACCACCAGCCGCGGGTCGCCTGATTGGAAGGCGCCTGAGCGGGCAGGGGGCTGCAGAGGGCCGGACAGGGCGGGTCAGGGGCAGCGGTGCAGGGGCTGAGGATCCATAGGAACAGCCCGTGCGCAGGCAGTCCTCAGCTTACGACCACAGTGGAGGCCAAAATGTCTGTTGCTAAGAGAGACAGTTCTTATGTGAATTTGGCCCTATTCTGTGACTTTTCTTGAACGGACTGGAGAGAAGAGAAGAGAAGAGAAGAGAAGAGAAGAGAAGAGAAGAGAAGAGAAGAGAAGAGAAGAGAAGAGAAAATATGGAATGGAATGGAATGGAATGGAATGATCAAAAGTGAGAAAGCGCTACAAGGGAATGAAAATTAGAAGAATGGAATGGAGTGGAGTGGAGTAGAGTGGAATGGAATGGAATAGAGAATGGAATAAAGAATGAAATAGAATAGAATAGAATAGAATAGAATAGAATAGAAATAAAGAATAGAATGGAATAGAATAGAATGGAATAGAATAGAATAGAATAGAATAGAATAGAATAGAATAGAATAGAATAGAAATAAAGAATAGAATAGAATAGAATAGAAATATAGAATAGAATAGAATAGAATAGAATAGAATAGAATAGAATAGAATAGAATAGAATAGAAATAAAGAATAGAATAGAATGGAATAGAAAAGAATAGAGTAGAATAAAATAGAATAGAATAGAAATAAAGAATATAATAGAATAGAATAGAATAGAATAGAAATAAAGAATAGAATAGAATGGAATAGAATAGAATAGAATAAAAATAAAGAATAGAATAGAATAGAATAGAATAGAAATAAAGAATAGAATAGAATGGAATAGAATAGAATAGAAATAAAGAATAGAATAGAATAGAATAGAAATATAGAATAGAATAGAATAGAAATAAAGAATAGAATAGAATAGAATAGAATAGAATAGAATAGAATAGAATAGAATAGAATAGAATAGGTATGGGTTTCCTGCCTGAGCAGGGGGTTGGACTAGATGACCTCCAAGGTCCCTTCCAACTTTGTTGTTGTTGTTGTTATTATTATTATGAATAGAATAGAATAGAATAGAATAGAATAGAATAGAATAGAATAGAATAGAATAGAATAGAACAGGAGCTGGAAGGGACCTTGGAGGTCTTCTAGTCCAGCCCCCTGCTCGAGCAGGAGAACCTATACCATCTCAGACAGGTGACTGTCTAGTGGTCTCTTCTTAAAAACCTCCAGTGATGGAGCTCCCATGACGTCTGAAAGCGGGCTGTTGAGAAAGGAGACTCCGAGGCCCGAGGGGGGGTTTGGGGGGTGGGCTGGGGTCCCCTTCCTCCTTCCTGCTGTCAGTCCAGCCTCATTAGCGGCAGGAAAGGCTGCTGAGCATCACGGGAGCCCATCTCGGTGCTGTCTCATCCCATCAGCACCAGGCATCTCACGGCGGAGAAGGATGGCACCTGAGCGCTCATCAGGATGTGGTATCCTGACAGTTTAGAGGGGGGGGAAGTGGGGGGGGCTTGGTATTGGCACTGAGAGCAATTAACACTGGGGGGAGGGTTTGATGGCTAGCAGGATTCACCCAGCTGAGGCTTCTTCCTAGTTTCCTGGCCCTTGGGTGAGGTGGGGAAGGCAGAGACCCTTCCTCTTCCCCCCCCATCAGTTTGGCCTCCTGATTTATTTTGTTACGGATGGAAACTGATCAAGGAGAGAAGCAACCTGGAACTAAGGAGAAACTTCCTGACAGTTAGAACAATTAACCAGTGGAACTACCTGCCTCCAGAAGCTCTGAATGCTCCAACACTGGAAGTTTTTAAGAAGAGACTGGACAGCCATTTGTCTGAAATGGTGTAGGGTTTTCTGCTTGAGCAGGGGGTTGGACTAGATGACCTCCAAGGTCCCTTCCAACTTTATTATTATTATTGTTGTTGTTGTTATTATTATTAATATTAATATTAATATTAATATTATTAATATTATTATTATTTCTCTATGGCACATCCACTTTTTAATAAAAAGGAACAGAGGAATAAAATAACAAAACGTAGAATGCACAGTCTGAAATCGTTAACAGGAAGATGACCAACGTGAATCTGCATCGCAAATATAATTTATTTATTTTTTTACAAATAATCCTCGACTTACGACCACAGTTGAACCCGGTTGCTAAGCGAGACAATGGCTAAGTGAGTTTTGCCCCCATTTTGCATCCTTTACTTCCCAGCGTTGTTAAGTGAATCACTGCAATTGTTAAGCCAGTCACACGGTCGTTAAGTGAATCAGGCTCCCCCCCATTGGCTTTGCTGGTCAGAAGGCCATAAAAGGGGGATCACGTGACACCCCCCCCCAAGGACACGGCGACCGTCATAAGCACGAGGCGGTTGCCAAAAACATCTGATTTTTGTTTGTGTGGACGTGGAGATGCTGCAACGGACGTCAGTGGGAAAAGCGGTCCTAAGTCTCTTTTTTTCAGTGCTGTCGTAACTTGGAACGGTCACTAAACGAACTGTTGTAAGGTGAGGACTGCCTGCACTGGATCAAGAGAGCGGAGAGTCACCCCTTCCCAGAGGGGAAAGAAGGGAGAGCCGGAAAAGAAGGCTGGGGGTCTAGCAAAGAGGCCTTGTGTGGTGGACCTTGGACACATCTCAGAGACCTTTCTGGGCCCTTCGGATCAGCTTCAGCTCTCCTAGGTGGGTGCCCCAGGTCGGGGTGCCCCCACTTAGCAGAAGACCCCTGAATGCCCTCCCTCCTTCCCGCCGCAGTGTTGAGATGTTGAGGCTCTGGAAAGAGTGCAGAGAAGAGCAACTAAGAGGATCCAAGACCTGGAGACCAAAACATACGAAGGACGGCTGCAGGACTTGGGTCCGGCTGGTCTAAAGAAGAGAACTCTGGTGCTGGAGAAGACTCCTGCGAGTCCCCTGGACTGCAAGGCGATCCAATCGGTCAGTCCTGGAGGAGATCAACCCCGACTGCTCTTTGGAAGGCCAGATCCTGAAGTGGAAACTCAAGTCCTTTGGCCACCTAAGGAGAAGGAAGGACTCCCTGGAGAAGAGCCTGATGCTGGGAAAGACGGAGGGCAAGAGAAGAAGGGGACGACAGAGAAGGAGGGGGCTGGAGGGAGTCCCTGAAGCAGCAGGTGGGAGCTTCAGTGGACTCCAGAAGGTGGTAGAGGACAGGAAGGCCTGGAGGAACATTGTCCATGGGGTCACGATGGGTCGGACATGACTTCACAACTAACAACAACAACAAACAAGAGAAGAGAAGAAATAGGGGAGACATGATAGCAGTCTTCCAATATTTGAGAGGCTGCCCCAAAGATGGGAGGGTCAACTTATTCTCCAAGGCGCCTGAAGGCAGGACAAGAAGCAACGGATGGAAACTCATCAAGGAGAGAAGCAATCTGGAACTAAGGAGAAACTTCCTGACAGGGAGGACAATTAACCAGTGGAACAGCTTGCCACCAGAAGCGGTGGGGTGCTCCAACACTGGAGATTTTTAAGAAGAGACTGGACAGCCCTTTGTCTGAAATGGTATAGGGTTTCCTGCCTGAGCAGGGGGTTGGACTGGATGACCTCCAAGGTCCCTTCCAACTCTTGTTATCCTGTTATTCAGTAGCCTTGCAATGGGCTTCCTCCTTGCCAGGCTCTGCCTCAAATGATGGAAAACAGCCCCAGCGGAGCGTGCCCACTTGCTGGGCCACCGTGTCATAAATCAGGCCCACCACGGGGCCAAGGAGATCTGGGCTGGCGGAACAACATCCCAGCACGAGGCTAGCAAAAGGTCAGCTGCGGAGGGAGCTGCTGCTGCCAAGGCGGCACCTGGGGGGGGGTTTGCAGCTGGGGAGGGTCTCGGGGCCCATTTTGCGAGGGGGCAGCCTGCGTTTCTGCACAGAGTTGGGTTCCTAACAAGGGTGCTTCTCCCTGGAGTGAGACGGGCTCTCTGGGTCCTCAGCTGTAACTCCCCGGAGTTTCTTTATTTCGTTATTTCAATTTGGGTGGCATCCATCTCACTGACAGCGCGACTGTGGGTGGCTGACAATGTGATCAAAAGGGAGAAAGTGCTACAAGGGAATGAAAATTAGAAGAGTGGAGTGGAATAGAGAATGGAATGGAATATATGAAAAGGAGTGGAGTGGAATAGAATAGAATAGAATAGAATAGAATAGAATAGAATAAAGAATAAAGAATAATATAGAATATAGAACAGAACAGAATAAGGAATAAGTAGAATAGAATAGAATAGAATAGAATAGAATAGAATAGAATAGAATAAAGAATAATATAGAATATAGAACAGAACAGAATAAGGAATAAGTAGAATAGAATAGAATAGAATAGAATAGAATAGAATTACAGAATAGAATAGAATAGAATAGAATAGAATAGAATAGAATAGAATAGAATAAAGAATAAAGAATAATATAGAATATAGAACAGAACAGAATAAGGAATAAATAGAATAGAATAGAATAGAATAGAATAGAATAGAATAGAATAGAATAGAATAGAATAGAATAGAATAGAATAGAATAGAATAGAATAGAAAATATAGAATAGAATAGAATAGAATAGAATAGAATAGAATAGAATAGGAGCTGGAAGGGGCCTTGGAGGTCTTCTAGTCCAGCCCCCTGCTCAAGCAGGAGAACCTACACCATCTCAGACAGGTGAATGTCCAGTCTCTTCTTAAAAACCACCAGTGATGGGGCGCCCATGATTTCTGGAAGCAAGGAGTTCCACTGCTTAATTGTCTTCACTGTCAGGAAGTTTCTCCTTAATTCCAGGTTGCTTCTCTCCTTGATGAGTTTCCATCCATTGTTTCTCATCCTTCCCTCTGGTGCTTTGGAAATAATTTGACCCCCTCTTCTTCTTTGTGGCAGCCCCTCAGATACTGGAATACTGCTGTCATGTCTCCCCTATTTCTTCTTTTCTTCAGACTAGCCAAACCCAAGTCCTGCATGTTTTAGTCTCCAGGCCTTTGATCATCTTAGTTGCTCTTGTCTGAACTTTTTCCAAACTCTCAACATCTTTTTTGTAATGTGGTGACCAAAATTGGCTGCAGTGTTCCAGGTGTGGCCTCACTAGGGTTTTATAAAGTGGAACTAATACGTCGCGTAATCTTGTTTCTATGCCTCTGTTTATACAACCCAGGATTGTGTTAGCTTTTTTGGCTGCTGCTGCACATTGCTGGCTCATGGTCAAGTGATCGTCCACTAGGACTCCGAGGTCCCTCTCGAGATCATCTTTGCAGGATACCTGCAGCTCCTCCGTTGGTCTCCTGAGCAAGGACCCCAAAAGAAGCAGCATAGGCCCTTTTGTTCAGCCGGAATCTCGGGAGGGTGTCCAGGACAGTCCCAGGACGGGGAGCCCCGTAAACAGAGTCCCTATGTTGGATGTGCCACACGAGCAGAAGACCGAGATGTGAGACCGAATTCAGTTCCCGTCAACGTCTTTGGATGTAAAGTCACCTTTCTGGGCGTAGGGCGGTTGAGCCCCAGAAGGGTAATCCTTGAATGAGAGAAGATCTTCTCCGCCACCCCCAAATCTATTTTGTGGTCTTCTGACCTCAAGGCTGAGGAGCAATCTGAAGGTTGCTGCGGCTTGTGTGTCGTGGGTGGGAAGGGCATCTCGGGTTATGGGCCTCGGAGGCAGCGCTGATGCCGATGCCTTCCCAGAGGTCCCTGTTTCCGCCTCTGGACCATCCCTAAGAGGAAGGGCAAGAGAAAGGGGTTCTAGGGAACACCATCAGTGTCCCACTCTCTCCAAGCACTGATTAGGTTAGTTGGGTCGTGCAAGGTCTACAAGAAAACGAGCAAGTTCAGAGAGCACCAAGGACCCCACAGTCCTCCTCCTCCTCCACCACCTCCTCTTCTGCTTCTTCTTTCTTCTCCACATCCTCCTCTTCCTCATCCTCCTCTTCCTCCACCTTTCAGCTTCCTCCTCCTCCACATCCTCCTCTTCCTCCTCCACCTCCTGTTCCTCCTCCTGTTCCACCTCCTCTTTGGCTTCCTCCTTCTCTTCCTCCTCGTCCTCCTCCACCTCCTCTTCTGCTTTCTTCTCCTCGTCCTCCTCTTCCTCGTCCTCCTCTTCCTCCACCTCCTCTTCAGCTTTCTCCTCCTCCATCTCCTCTTCCTCCTTGTCTTCCTCCATCTCCACCTCCTCTTCGTTTTCCTCCTCTTCCTCCCCCTCCTCCTCTTCTCCTCCTTCTCCTCCTCCTTCTCTTTCTCCACCTCCTCCTCCTCTTCCTCCCCCTCTTCAACCTCCTCCTCCACTTCCTGGTCCTCCTCCTCCTCCTCCTTTTTCTCCTCCCCCCTCTTAGCACTGATGATGTTCCCTAGTTGGGTCATGAAACGTCTGCAAGGAAACCACCATGTTCAGAGAGCACCAAGGACCCCACAGTTCCTCCTCCTCCTCCTCCTCCCTTCTAGCATTGATGATGTTCCCTAGTTGGGTCATGAAACGTCTGCAAGGAAACCACCCAGCTCAGAGAACCACCCAGGGCCCCTCAGAAGTTACAGGCTCTGCCAAGTGAAGGAAGCACGGACTCAGTTCTTCGCCTGTGAACTCTGCCTGCTTGAGGAGGGGGTTGGACTAGAAGACCTCTGAGGTCCCTTTCAACTCTGTGATTCTGACTCCGACTGGCTGCCCCTCTCAGGACATGGTGCGCCGTGGGGAGATCATTGATGACGACACGGAAGAGGAGTTCTACCTCCGGCGCCTGGACGCCGGCCTCTTCGTGCTGCAGCTCATCTGCTACATCATGGCCGAGATCAGCAACGCCAGCATCCCCCAGGTAGGACCGGCCAGCCCTGCCCTCCGTCCTCCCCTCCCCCCCCCATGGCCCAGCCCTCCGCCCTCCTTTTACTGATGGATATTTTTTTATTTGCATCTCCCCTTTATTAATAATAATAATCTTTATTGATTAGCCCTTGAGCCATATCAAAGTGCAAAGTTCCAATAACAAATCATTACCAAAGTCTAATAAAAGCAGTTTAAAATAAAATTTGATAAAATACAGTTTAAAATGGAACTAGAAGCATCTCCCCTTTATTGTTTTTACAAATAACCTATTTTCTGCACAACCACCCTGCAAGGTAGACTGGGCTGAGAGAGAGAGAGAGGACTGGCCCAGAGTCACCCAGTGGCTTTCCTGCCTAAGGCGGGACTAGAACTCACCGTCTCCTGGGGATTGGCCCAGAGTCACCAAGCCGGCTTTCATGGCTAAGGCGGGACTAGAACTCACCACCCCTTACTTTCTCTAGTGCGTTCACCACTAGACCAAACTGCCTCTCTTCCTTTGTGGCGTCTGCAGTTCCCGGCCCACCACGGGGCTTCATTTTGCAGAAGTGGGGGTCCTGCAGCCTTCCTCAGCCCCCCTTAAAGGAGCTCCCCTGGGGTCTCAAGGGGGGCTGCCCCAGAAAGGACTCACAATTGCTGCCAGTTGGCTTGTTTCTGTATTTATATGGCCGTCCTTCTCACAAACAGTTGTGAGATGCAACAAAGCAAACGAATACTCCTGTTGTGATTATGAAAAACTTTAAAGTCATTGCACAAAATTCAAACTACCCAGAGTAAGGGCCCAGAGTAAGTCAGAGGCGCTGCTGGCTTCCCCAAAGGCGGACTTTCTGGCCCCCCCAACAGAGACCCCTTTATTCCCCCCCTTTTCTCCCCCCTTCCCCCCCCAGATCCGCCAGAGGGTGCATCAAATCCTGAACATGCGCGGAAGCTCCATCAAGATCGTCCGGCACATCATCAAAGGTGAGCCACTGGGGGGGGAAGGAGGGAAGGGGGGGCTCACTCAGAGCCCCCCCCC